GAAGGCACCGGCTGCCAGATGGGACGGGCAGACCTGCCTGCTGCCTCCAATGAACACGCAGGGCACAGATGGTTGGCTGGGAGGTTACAATGGCCCACGACTGATTGGCTGGGAGATTACAGTGCCCCATGGCTGATTGGCTGAGAAACTAGAGTGCCACAGGGCTGACTGGCTGATTGGCCACATCCTTGGGTGCTGATTGGCTGGGTGGCCTTGTTGCTGCATGATGATTGGCTGGGTGGCTAGAGGAAAAAAATTACAAACTAATAAAAAAAAAACCAGCTTTGACAAAAACCAAATAATTTCAGCGCAAGGATGTGATGAGTCCCCAGGCACCGCTGGAGCCATCGCTGCCACATCTGCCGTCCTGCCAGGCCGCTCTGAGCAGCAGGTTTCAGGAGCTGGAGTTCGGACACCTGCAACACCTGCTCTGGGTCATTCTCCAGCGTCCATTTCAATAATTTATTCCAAAGCCATTTCGGTGGGCACATCCATATAGAAAAAAAGTCTTCGGCCAGCCACATCTTCTGTAGGAAAACCCAACAAACATCATTAACTCAGCTTTTCTTTTACAGCTTTATCAGGGCTCCCACAGTAGCTGGGAGCTGCCTGTCCCAGCTCGGGATTTGTGTCTTTTCTTTAGGCATTACAGTGCGCTCTCTCTCAGCGGCTGCTCCGTGGATTTGTCCTCTTCCATCAGCTTCTTTACAAGGAGGTCAGGTATGTTCCTTGTGATGGATGCTCACATACCTCAGCTCCCTGCAGCATGGAGAGCCCACGCAGGGACCCATTTTTGAGGCCAGGTCCCAGTGCTGCCCTCGGCACTGCTCAGTCGGGGCACAGTGGGACACTCTGGCCTTCCCTTTAACAGCCCACCCATTTTAGGTCCCCTCCATGATGGTGTGTCCTCACACATTGCTCCATGTGTAGGAGACAGCAGCAGACAGCAGCAGTCCTGGCATGAGGCTGTGTCACTTGAAGTCACCCGGCGCAAGAGCGGCACTGAGCCATGGTTCAGCTGGAAACCAAGCATCACAACCAGCTTGTCTTGAGGGAAGACTGATGGAGAGAGACATGGCAAATCTCCCCTTGCACAGCAGCAGGAAAGAAGTAGCTTACTAGCTACTCTCCTTCTGGGAGGGCAAGAGGAGGAGAGCCTGAATTTTAGCAAAGCTCCTATGGCCACAGGGACCAGTGCCTGATCCAGTCTCAGCCCTGGGCTGGCGAGATGTGTCTCTTCTGGGGTGCTGGTTGCTCTTTGCTTATGCTAGGCTCCTTTCAAACCCCAGATCAAAACCTTAAATATCTGAAGCAAACTCTTCCCTTCACACCACTGTCCATCAACAGCAAGCAAAGCTAGGGCCTAGAAACCAGCAGCACGGAGAAATGGTTGTTTTGTTCTTGCACAATGATACCCAGACCGTGTTGGGTGAACACGGAGAAGAGGTGAAGCCAGGCAAAGTTGTGCCACAGTGATACTGAGAGCACCTGTGCAGGGGTGAGAACCTTGATGTTCCATGGGACTGGGGCTCCAGTTCTGCCTCCCTCGAACCACTGTGGACCCATCAGGAGGAAGAGAAAGAACTGGGATGGGTCTTGTTGGTCAGCAAATGGCCAGGAGACACTTAGAGACCTTTGGAGGGAGGACAGAGGTTATGGAGGAAACAACGGGAGAGGTGAACTTGTTGAATGCACGTTTGCTCAAAAGTCAGAGAGACGCCTCTGCCCTCTGGCCCTGGAGACTGCTTTGACGTGACGCTGCTATCCCTCTGCCAGAAGATGAAAGATGCCAAGCAATGGGGTTTCGAAAATACAGGGACTAGGCTCTGTCCTGCTGGTGGCCTCATGCCTGGTCAGGATCTGTGATGGGTGCAGGGAGATGGGAATGAAGAAGGCCAATGCCTCACGCACTTCCTCAGCCCCATCTTCACCACCCTCCAACACCACTGGCCATGCAGGGGACATGAGTCACCAGTGCTGGCTCATTTCTGTGGCTATTTCTCTGCTCTGTCCCGTCTCCTTTGGTGACACTACACTGACATGAGTCTGGACTTACAAGGACGTCAGCAAATTTGCCAAATACAGAGCTGATCTCTTCAGCCCTTGTTCCCCAGCTCCTGACCCACAATGCAGATACATGGCTGCCATCCCCAGGCAGCAGCATTCACCCTCACCCCATAGAAGCGAGAGGGGCCCGGCTGGGCTGGACTTGGGGAACAGAAATGCAGCCGCTTGCATTTATTTTGCCTAACAACAGTGATCTCTCTGTATATTTTCATTCTGTTTTCCTAGGCTCAGCTGCCTCCTCAATGAAATGTTTCCAAAGCAGCCTGGCTTGGCGGCACGCCAGCCCCGGCTGCCAGATGAATGGGCGGAGGAGGAGGGACCCATTCCTCTTCTTGACACAGCATCGCCGCACAAGAGGCCTCTGTTGACATTAGGACTGGCTGTTCCCCCTCTCCCGAGAGGATGTGCCTGGCCCTCAGCAGCAGCAGCACACAGGGCCAAGGCTGTATGGGATGTGTGGGACTGGGGTCTGTCCTCCTGCAGGATGGCAGCACAGCCATGGACACCAGGGTACCACAGAGTGGCCTTCTCTGGGCTGGTGGCTCAACCATGACACCAGGATATCCTCGTACAACCTCTTCCAGGGGGGTGGCAGAGCCATGGACACCAGGGTACCACAGTGCAGCAGTGCCAGGGCCAGAAGTCAGCCCTAGTTTCCCCCTGACAGCTGAGCGCTCCTGGGGGTCTCTGACTCCTGGGAACGGCATCACTTCCCAAGACATCAGCAATGTTAACTTCCCCAGAACACCTTCACCCCGCTCAGAGCAAAGCTCTCCCTCAGCATGGCAGGAGTGCAGACATCGAGGTAGGTTTTGCCAGCGCCAGGTCTCTGGCACTTTTCAGGGGGGCAGCACAGTGCCACCGGGCTACCAGACATGATGCTGCTATCTGTTACTGCTAATTGCCACTCTGGGCAAGGGAATGCAGACTTGTGCATGCTCTCCTGACCACTTGTCACCTATTCGCCAGGGACACCTTTAAGAGCTGTGCAAGGAAAGGATGTGGAAGTTAAGAAAAAGGCTGAGGAAGCATCAGAAGGCAAAAGAAAGAGATCAAAGCCATCAGCATCCTTCCAGTCTAACCTCTCCCTGCTGGCCGGCTCCCTGGGCGTTTCCTGCTGGCGGCCAGCACCCAGCTGCTGCAAGCTGAGGACCAGAGGCTGGGTCAGAGCAGCACCCAGGGACACAGACTGCTCCCCCCAGCCATGTTGGGGAGAGGATTCTGTCTGGATCTGGTGGAAAAGAGGCCAACCCCGCATCGATAAGATGAATTAGTTGTCTCAGCAGCACCGGCAAAATGAGCAAGAGGAGTGGAGCCCGTGAGGCCCGGCCTGCTTTGTTTCAATTACAGCAGCTGCCAGAAGAAAAAGATAACCTCAATATTGATGGCAGAAGCAGCAGACAGAGGTGCCCTTGTGGGTTGCTGGGAGCAAGTAGAGGAGGAAGGGGGAGGAGGAGGGAGGGAGTAAGAGATGGAGGAGGGAGGGCAGGGTCTCAGGCAGCCACTCAGGGGAGAGCCTGGCTGGCCTTCCCAGGCTGGTGAGGAAGACCTACCTGATCCCATTGCCCTCATCTCTATAAGGAACAGCTCCTCTTCACCCTGGCTCTTGCCTCAGGTGCTGGGCAGAGCATCACCTGCAGAGGATGAGTGGAGGGGTGCAGCAATGCAGCTGGGAGTGTCAGCAGCAGGACATGCACCACACACACGGTGCCACATGAGACTGAGCAGAAAAAAAATCCTCTTTGTTCCCCACTTAGGCTGTGAGGCCCAGAGATGAGATGGAGAATTCAGGGGAGGCGTCGAGTGGGGCTGTGTGGGATGATGGATGGAGCTGGAGTGAAGGGCGGTGAGGCTGAGACGGGCAAGAGGGTGGCCCAGGGTGCAGGCAGGCGTGGCTGGGAACCCTCACGATACATTCCCAATGGGGACCCGTCAGGGTGCTGGGAACAAGATGCCCAAGGTGACTTTGGACTGTGTGTGGGATCTTTGGCCCCACAACAGCAGCTCAGGGCGGGCACCCCAACACCACACCTACAAGCCAGGGACGGAGGTACTGAGCCACCCTCCCTCCTGGCAGGGCAGGGTTAATGCCCTTCCCCGGGCGGGGGGCACTAAGCCCTGGGTTCGCATCCCGGCAGGAGGTGACCAGAAGGGGTGAAGTGCCAGGCCAGGCTGAGCAGGGTTCGCTTCGCAGAGGTTTTATTCGCGCTCTGGATGTCCGCATCGCCCTCCGATCCCGATTGTCCCACAGGAGTGACCCCAGCATCCTCCCCGCTGTCTTCCCAGGGCTGTGGGCCCTGGATACAGCCCCTAGGTCTCCAAGAGGGGACAAGGCCACCATCTTGCGGCCATCCATCACCACTGCACATACCCATGTGCAAGGCCTGGAGGGTCCCCAGGACGTCGCAGCTATGGGGGGATGGGGTTTAGACCATGGGGACCTGCGACCTTCCGCTGCTCCTAGTGCCCCCATCTCCTGGGATCGTGTCCTGAGGGGCACACGTTGTCCCTCCGCTCGCTCCCCGGCCAGGACACCCAGGGGTGCCAGGATGGGCCGAACTTGCCGGCAGTGCTGCTCCCATCCCAGTTCTGGTCCATCCCTGCCCTGCTGCTTCGTGCGGCGTCAGCCCGCGGTGACCGGGGACATCCCGGTTTGCACGGCAGGCTTCATTGAGCGCGGAAAGGCAGGCGGCAGCAGAGGAAGGCTCAGAACTGAGTCCTGGGGCTGCAAATGCAGCACCTCGGGGAGGTCTGAGGGGGTTTTCCCTACCAGTCACAGCACGGGTGTACGACTCACATGGGAGATGCTGGAATGGGTTATTATACCAAGGCTGCTGGCGACCAGCAGCCCAAAGCGAGTCTTTTCATGCCTCTGGGAAGCGAGTTGGTGTGGTCTGCAGACTACTGGGTTCTGTGAGGCTGCCCAGCTGGGCTTAGTGCTCATTTCTTTCCTTCCGCTTCTTCCCCACGGGATGGGGCTGGCCATGGTCTCCGTGGTGGTTGTGATTATGGGAAACTGGTTTGGAGTCCCCGGTCAGGTCTGCGGCTCTTTCGCTGCTGACCTCATGAAGGTGGGGAGGATGGAGAGGGTTGTGCTGGTGAATGAGGGTCTCTGACTCCTTCACCTCTCCTTCAGGTAGTGGGGTCAGGGTCACAGGGACCTCCATGGTACTGTTAACCTGAGGGAATTAACACAAGGACAGGTGAGGCATGTGAATGCACACTGAGCCTGCAGGCACGCCTGTGAGCAGACCAGCATTTTTCATACAGAAAGCTGCATGGGTCAGAAAAAATGCTCTCCATCCTGGACCCAGGATGCAAGGAGGACAGGAGAAGCTGAAGCACATAGAGCACAAGTCTTTGTACCTACAGTCCTTGGCTCAAGCTGTCAGTTGTCCAAGGAATTCCTGAGCCAGGAAAGGGACTTTGTGTTTAATATTTCTAGATGGATTTTTCTCCTAGGAAGTGACTAATCACCTGCTGAGCCCGAAGTTACATCCTTTTCTTTGCACTGAGCTTGCTACCTCTGGGTCTGCTGTCTGCTGCTTTCTTGTATCAGAAGAATCAGCAACCCTAGTAAGCTTTTCCAGTCCTGGGCTATGACCCATTTAGCCTATTCCTTCTCAGCCTGAAAGCTCTGACCTATTTAAGTGCCATTAATCCAGACTTTTCATCACCCTCCCTTCCAGCCATGGCCAATGGCAGTTGCCAACTCAGAACCTGTACCCTGCATGAAGATAAGGTGGTTTTTTTCCCTGATGTTCAACGCCAGAAGAGAGAAGGGAGCTCAGTTCCAACAAGTATCCCCACTCCTTACCTCCTGAGTAGTGTTGGGGTAAAGTGAGCAGTTGCCACAGAAGTCCTTGCTGTGGGTGAAGCGGATGGCTGACTCCACGTAGGGGAAGTGGAGGAAGCTGTAGGGCAAGAGGATGTGGAAAGCCAGGCGGCCACACCTGCAGGGAGAAGCCATAGCACAGCTCAGGGTGGGGGATCTGGGGTCTCCTCCCAGCCCAACTATGAGGGGAGCTTTTGGAAGCCCACCAAACGCTCTGTAACCCCGCAGAAAAGCCTCAGCCGAAACTGGGGACACTCACCGGTCGTAGATGAGGAAATCATCCTTGTCACCTCCCAGGACCTGCCAGACATCGGGATCTTCTTGCTCTGGCTGGAAGACGGGGACACCCGGCGGGGCATGGCGCTCCAGCTCCCCGAACATGGCACGGGAAAGCGGCGCCTTCTCATTGACAATCATGTAGTGGACATCGACCGTGCCCTG